CTGCACAGGAGATTCAATTTTTGGGAATAAAATGGCAAGATGGACGTAGACAGATCCCCACAGATGTGATCAACAAGATAACAGCAATGTCTCCGCCAACTAATAAGAAAGAAACGCAAGCTTTCTTGGGTGCAGTGGGGTTCTGGAGAATGCACATCCCAAATTACAGTTCGATTGTAAGCCCTCTCTATCATGTGACCCGGAAGAAGAATGATTTTAAATGGGGCCCTGAGCAGCAACAAGCCTTTGAGCAAATTAAACGCGAGATAGTTCATGCAGTAGCCCTTGGACCAGTCCGGACCGGACCAGATGTAAAAAATGTACTGTACACTGCAGCTGGGGAGAACGGTCCTACCGTTCTCCCCAGCTTCTGGCAGAAAGCTCCAGGGGAGACTCGAGGTCGACCCCTCGGCTTTTGGAGTCGGGGATATAAAGGATCTGAGGCCAGCTATACCCCAACTGAGAAAGAAATACTGGCAGCCTATGAAGGGGTTCGAGCTGCTTCGGAAGTGATTGGCACTGAAGCACAGCTCCTTCTGGCACCCCGGCTGCCCGTGCTGGGCTGGATGTTCAAAGGCAGGGTCTCCTCTACACATCATGCAACCGATGCTACATGGAGTAAATGGGCTGCACTAATTACACAACGAACTCGAATAGGAAATCCCAGTCGTCCAGGCATTCTAGAAGTCATCATGGACTGGCCAGAGGGCAAAGATTTCGGAATGTCACCAGAGGAGGAGGTGATGCGCGCTGAAGAGGCCCCACCATATAATAAACTGTCAGAAAGTGAAAAGCAGTATGCCTTGTTTACTGATGGCTCTTGCCGTATTGTGGGAAAACATCGGAGATGGAAGGCAGCTGTATGGAGTCCTGGACGACAAGTTGCAGAAACTGCTGACGGAGAGGGTGAATCGAGTCAGTTTGCCGAGGTGAAAGCCATCCAGCTGGCCCTGGACATTGCTGAACGAGAAAAGTGGCCAGTACTTTATCTCTATACTGACTCATGGATGGTGGCAAATGCCCTGTGGGGGTGGTTGAAGCAGTGGAAGCAGAGCAACTGGCAACGCAGAGGTAAACCCATCTGGGCTGCTGCACTGTGGAAAGATATTGCTGCCAGGGTGCAGAACCTGGTGGTGAAGGTACGTCATGTAGATGCCCATGTACCCAAGAGTCGGGCCACTGAGGAACACCAGAACAACCAACAAGTGGATAAAGCGGCTAAGATTGAAGTGGCTCAGATGGACTTAGATTGGCAACGTAAAGGTGAATTATTTTTGGCCCGGTGGGCCCATGACACTTCAGGCCATCAGGGCAGAGATGCAACATATAGATGGGCCCGTGACCGAGGGGTGGACTTAACAATGGACACTATTGCCCAGGTTATTCATGAGTGTGAAACATGTGCTGCAATTAAACAAGCCAAGCGGTTAAAGCCTCTTTGGTATGGAGGACGATGGTTGAAGTATAAATATGGGGAGGCCTGGCAGATTGACTATATCACACTGCCACCAACCCGCCAAGGCAAGCGCCATGTGCTTACCATGGTGGAAGCAACCACCGGGTGGCTGGAAACATACGCCGTGCCCCATGCCACTGCCCGGAACACCATCCTGGGCCTTGAGAAACAAATTTTGTGGCGACACGGCACCCCAGAGAGAATTGAGTCAGACAATGGGACTCATTTCCGGAATAACCTTATAGATATTTGGGCCAAAGAGCATGGCATTGAGTGGGTATATCACATCCCCTACCATGCACCAGCCTCTGGGAAAATCGAACGGTACAATGGACTGTTAAAAACTACACTGAGAGCGATGGGCGGGGGAACTTTCAAGCATTGGGATACACACTTACCAAAGGCCACCTGGTTGGTCAACACCAGAGGATCTGCCAACAGGGCTGGCCCAGCCCAGTCAGAACTGTTACATATTGTAGAGGGGGACAAAGTTCCCGTGGTGCATATGAAGAATTTGCTGGGAAAGACAGTCTGGGTTATTCCTGCTTCAGGTAAAGGCAAACCCACTCGTGGGATTGCTTTTGCTCAGGGACCTGGATATACTTGGTGGGTAATGCGGGAAGATGGGGAAGTCCGATGTATACCTCAAGGGGATTTGATTTTAGGGGAAAACAGCCAGTGAACTCAATTGTATGCTGTTGCCTGCTGTGTAATGCTTTTATAGCCCATCAACTAGATGTCTCCAGGTCACCAGCGACTGGCCCTGACTTCCCTCCAGCCATCATCCCAACAGAGAATGAACTTTGAACATCATGGACCGAATGGACTCGGCAGCATTATAGGGATTAGTCCATGCACTAAGAAAATGATTTTTCCTCTTGGTCTGTATGTATATGGATGTATATATGTGGGAGAGCGATGGTGTATTGAAAAATGTGGGATCTGAGCACGACGTGAATGGTATGGAATAAGGGGTGGATAATGTCCTGGGTTCCGCAGTAGCAGTCATGTTTTTCCTTTGTGTTAACTGGTACAGTGCTGTGTTTTGACTTCCAGTTTGAGAACAGTGTTGGTGAAGCCGATGTTCTCGGTTGTTGCTAAGTGATGTTTACCCTGACCAAGGACTCTGTGAGGCTCATGCTCTGCCAGGGAGGAGGGGAGGCTGTGAGGAAGCAGAGACGGGGCGCCTGACCCGGGCTAGCCGGGGAGGTATTCCATACCACAGCACGTCATGCCCGGGGTGAGGGGTAACTGGGAGTGACCCGGAAGGAGAGGGGTTTCCGGGTGGAGCTCGTTTCTCTTGGCCGGTGGTATCGTATTCTCTTCCCTTGTTATTTTCCCTTATCATTGTTGTAGCTGATAGTAGCGGTGGTGATTTGTTGCTGGACTGTTTTTATCTCAAAACCACGACAGCGTGCTGGGTTGTAGCCAGCAGTGGAGCTAAAGGTTCTTCTTGGTGGCAAATGCAGAGGCAACCCAGTCTTGTCCTTGATTATGGTAGGAGGTATTTGGCCAACCTCAGTCCTTGCACCTTGTCAATGCAGGGTTCCACCTGCCTCATCCAGTAACAAGTCGCTACTATGGCAAAACATACACAGATTTACGTTAGCAGCGTAACTACTACAGGGTGCACCAGTGTGATGAAGATGCTGGTGGCAGTGGGGGACCAGACAAAGAAAATTTCCCACCAGTGGGGTTCTCCCACCCTCTTAACAGTACCATCGTGTTAGAATCCTTCTGGCTTCTGCCTTAGCATTTTCTAGCAGCTGCAGTAAATTTGCATACTCTGACATCTCTTTTACAAGTGACAAATCCATATGGTACAAGGAGTAGTTTCTTATTAGCAACTGGCTAGTAAATACAGGTGATTTATACACAAAATCAAAGCCTCTAATCATAGCTACGTTGCAAGCACACATATTCAAGTCATTACTTTTCAGTTGCGCCCAAGTGATGTTTTGCAAATCATCCCTTTTTCTCTTCCTCTGTCTCATTCTGCTCAGGGTCTTCAAGGTCAGCTCCTGCAGCTGAGGCATTGGGTTCTTCAACTTGTCTGTCCAGCTCATGGTATGGCTTGACAAACTTTGCAGGCGGCCACCACGGACCTGTAGGTAGGAGGACACAAACATACCTCTCCCCCAGGTTATCAGTTCCACTGGCCCTTTCCATTTCTGTGGGCCCAAAGGATCACAATACCACAGTCGTCTTTAAGCCACGAGGATTTACACCCATGGCAAATGAGAATTGAGCTGTTGACTGACAGTCAGGGCAAGACCTGACAAAATCTGCTTTGCTTGAGAAGAAAACAGGTTAAACTGTCTCCTTAAAGCAGAAGCATTCTGATGGAAAAAAAAAAAAGGAATGTGAAGCAGCTGCAGAAGTAAACTCTGAAGTGTTAACAGTCAGGGAGTCAGCTATGTCATTACCCACACTTAAAGGGCTAGGCAGGTTGGAATGTGACCTAATATGACCAATAAAACAGAATAATTAATGCAGCAGCCAATACAGAAGCCCTACGAACCTCTGCTCTGACATCCTGACACATCCCAACAAACTCAGCAGTGTCTGTAAATTTTCCTCTGACTGGGGCTAGCACAGCCCTGCAGTCCTCACCAGCACCCTCATATACTAGCCAAAATAAAAGTGTATGAGCAGCCCTGTGGCCATTAATCTGCATTGTCAGTAGGTCTTTAAAAGAAACATAAGGTTCCTGAGACCACGCAGCTAGCACCCATGAAAGTAGTCTCCCCCCGATCCAAACGCTCGCCTCCAGGCCTGAACAGCCACACGGCGGCCTGCTGGAACACCAGAGGGTTTAGATCTGAGCTGTGAAGCCAAACAGAAACCACATAAGTCACAGTGACTGTCTTCAGTCACTATAAATTCCGTTCTATATACAATCACTCCTCAGGCTGTTTCCCAGCCCAACCTTGCACCCATGCACAAAAACACTCTCTGGCCTGCTCAAGACTCAGGTGCACTATCAGCAGTTCTTCTTTAATTATCTGCATAGCAGGACACAGGATGGCTAGCAGTTTTTTCTGTCTCCTCCTTTCCTACTTTTCCCTTATTGTGAGCCGCTTTGTCCAAGCCCAGCCCTAGTAGATCCCCTAATTGGCTTAACTTTTCAAACACCTGTTCAATGGGGTTTCCTTGTTCTGATAGTAGGATGGGTATAAGATATGCCTTCCATGCTGGTGGACATAGCTCTAAAAGTGTGTTCCATGGTCTGGGAATTAAGGGCTGTTGCATATAAAGCTTGGGCGATCCCACTAAGATGGCTAGTTTCATGCCCTCTGCTTTAAGTAATTGGCAGGCTGGCCACAGAGTGGTCCAACCCCTTGGGTTTCACCATGGACCATTATCTTTTGTTACTGATACACATCTGTCTTAAAAGTGAAAACTGCAACAAAATTTTCAAATTGGTGTAATCTATTAAATAGTTATAACCGTATGAACTGAAACATGTGGAACCTAACAAATAACTTAAGTCGAATTTAATTCTCTTGTGTCATCTGAGTGAAGTTCATGTGTTTGATTCTAGCTATGTGTGGTGCTCCAGTTACGCCATGTGAGCCCACAGATGTTGTTCCTCCAACCTGCCGGCTAAATAAAGATGTGCCGCAAGTTACACAATTGCTGACCCTAAAATTCACAAGTCGGAAATAAAATGCAGGACACATCCAGTAAGACTGCAAGAAACAGGTATTCTGTTGTACTAAAATATGGTGTTTCACGAGACAGACTCAAGTTGATGAGGAGATTCGAATTCCCCTTTATTGCAACCAAGCCCTTTTTATGCCCCTGTTTGTTACTTTCCCAACTTGCACATACATACAGTGTTCAGTCTTATTGGCCCCTCTCCAGGTAAATAGTCCAATCACAATGCTCTCCCAACCCCCACATGGTCAGCTGAGACTGTAGCTTTTTTTGACCTTCGCTGGCCTTCAATGCCCCAACTCATCACTGCAGGGCTTGTCAGTCACCAAGGCCTCAGAGCTCATTCTCAAACTTTTTCATGCAAATCTTAGTGCCTTCACTCCCCACATTAAAATACTGTGACTATGATCTATACTGTATGTGTACAAATAGTGTGGGGTTTCCAGTGCCTTACAAACTATGGCAACCCTAGCATAGGTGTACTAACATGAGCACAGACACATCTGTCCTATAGTTTGAGATCTGTGGGCAGCCCGAACGCTTCTAATAAGTTCAAAAAATCCCATTTTGAAAAAAATACTGTTGAAAAAATCCTATCTTTTTCATCATTTCATTGATTAGAATTCTAAATATATCAAAAATACCATTTCCTCACTCCCAGGATATTACTTTTTTTTGTAGATAAGTTATTCTGTAGATCCATTTGCAACAGTAAATATCCCAAATATGTGCAAGGACTTCTTAAAAAAGTGAGTTATAATGGATTTTAAAATGAGAATATTTTGTATGCACCATTGATGTGCTTCATGGAGAACTAATAATTTTGCCCCTTTCAAAATACTGAATTGATATTTTCAGCTTAAACTTGAGAAGTACATAAACAACTCACTGCTAGAGCTTAGAAAAATACACAGGTGAACTCTCTCTTTATAGGCACCCTCTTTCTTCTGTACTTTTGTTACGTTACTGTTGGCTTCTGTACAAAACACAAGGCTAAGCCTTTAATTTGGCCCATAGAATAATTGCAATGTCTTACTAAAGTTTTTAATGTACCATCTTTTATGAGTCACAGATTGATCATACAAGGCACTAGAACATCTTTAGAGAAGGAGGTAAGTCTGAAGTAGCTTAGAAGTGGTTCTGAACAAGCAAATTCATTTCGGAATCCACTTCCAATACATCTTAGTCGGTGTAGGCAATGTTAGAAGTGGTGCTGCACGTGAGGAAGACACATTTGTATTCCACTGTGCTCAGTATTTTCTTGGTTTTGAGGGTTCTCATCTTCAGTGTTTGAATTCAGTAAATAATAATTTCCACCATTTCTGTTAAAATGCTCTGGAAATACATGTGCAAAGTATTGACCAAAGGAATAACATAAATTACAGGGAACAGTAACTACTGGTGAAGTTTAACACTATAAAAGACAAGACTGTCACAGACAACAATAGTATTTAAGGTGTAGCATCTCATGAAACTCTAAAGAAAAAATAAACTTTGAAAAAGTATTTTTTGAGAACACCCTGGATAATATGAAAAGTTTAAGAAAATGTTTTAAACTCCATTTCTTCTGCTTTTACCGCAATATGGAAAAAAACAGCAGCATCATAAAGATTTTATCATCCCCACTAAGCTACTGTGCTGATGCTGGTTTAAGTTATTAACTTTATGTACTTCATATGTCTGTCTTTATGTACTTCATTAGTAAAGGCATTACAGCAGCTGAAATTAATAGGGGATTTAAATTTTTGCATAAAGTAAGACCCTTATACGTTTACTTATATAAATTACATTCAGCTTTTTTTAACATGTCCCATTTTTGTAATACTACTGGGGAAATAATATTTTTAGAGTATTATTGTCCTACAAGCAGTAAAGCCAAAGTTCCTTTGTGAATTTTGATTCTAAATTTGCTTTTGAAATAGCAGAAGAAACTCTGGAATTCAGTTTCTCAGTGTCTCTGTTCAAAAATCAATGCTTCTTGTCTGAATTGTCAAAATAGAAGGGACTGTACAACTTAAATGGGTACAATAGTGTGAATGATAGATCTAAACAGAATAATGAATGTCCATTTAAAAAACAGCTCAGGTTTTATTGTCCAGACTAGGAAGATCTATAGCTTTTAGGTATATGTAGTAAAATAATCAACAATAACATCTTTGGCCTGTATGAGAGGAAATGCCTTCAGTTTAATCTTTATTTCTAATCCAATTTTAAGAACATAGCATGTTCTTCCAGACATGTTTTTCAAATTGCTGAAGTTGGCCTTTTTGAAAATGGAAGCTTTGTTATATTTAAGTAATTTTTAATTGGGAAATGTTCTTTTTATCTACTAAACTTTGTTTCTTTGATAATCAAAAGCCTGAATTATTTTTAGTATCATCAACTTTTAATGACATATTATTTCATTATGCCATCAACACTCTGTTATGGCTAGATGTAGATTATTAATTGCAGTCAGTTAATGTGTTCATAAAGAGAGATTTTCATGCAAATCAGCTTTTATAAGTGGAGGTAACAACATTCCAAGGTAGTCAGCAAATTAAATGAATTGATGTTAAGCCAATCCTAGTGAAACAGCAGCTGTTAGCTGCAACCAAATGTCACATCAGGAAAAAGGGGAGAAGGTAATGGGAGAAAGTGGCTTCTTTTGTGCTTATTAGTACAGTAAATTATGTTATTTGGTGGCTAATGTATGATACCTTTCTTATGACACTGAAAATAAAGCTGATCTTGAAAGAAGATTAAATAAGTGTATGAGAAATTCTTAGCAGAATCAACAAAAAGTTTTGTTTCTACTCATTGCTTTGTGGAGGTGTCAGATCTCTAAAGTGAGATAGCAATTTAACACTGAAGTTATAGCAAGAAAAAATCTTCAGACATTATAAATTAATGTGAGGTTACCCTTTTTATCAGCTCTGGAAAGGAGAATTCACTGACAATCTTGGTAGTATTAAAAAATAGGAAACTAGATATTAGATGAAGTTCCACATCACGTGATAAAAGGAATGTGTAATCCTTTCCGTGTTCTTCCTTCTTTTGGAGCATTCACTTGTGTTCCATGTTTACTTCATGTTTGTTGTCCTGAGTGGTTGGAGTTTTCTGTGCTTGAAACTAATTATCAAAATGCACCTGTGTGTTAAACAGTAAAGGAAAAGTGAAAAGTGTAGAAGGTTTTAACAGGAATAGAGTATGTTTGCAATATTAGAGATCAGCCCTGATAACAGAGTAGATTCAGTGATTTCATAAAGCAAGCAACATGTAAATAGTTCTCATCTGAGCTGTGAGTGATATCTTGACAGTCTTGCTTAAGTTTTCCTGTTTTTAAGTTTTCCTGTTATTTATTTATTCTGTTATGTATTAATCAGAGTTGGCTTTTCTTCCTGTCAGAAATGACGGTTTAATTAGTTCTAAAGAAATAATGCAGATAATTTTGTTATAAATAACCCCATTTTAGAGAAAGCTTGTATGTTGAAACATGTCTATAAAATGTGCATTTGCTATTCCTGAATATTTCTAGGGATTGTGCTATAAGGGAGCGTAACTTTTATAGATATTTTGTATTCATAATTATTTCTCTCAGTTGATTTGAAGAAATGAATATTCATTCTCTCTAAGTAGTGCAATTCTTATAGAACTATTATTTTTCTTAGGTAGCTCAATTAATTGAGGACATCGCAATATACGCACAGGTAAAACCCAGGATGTATCATATATTGCATTTGGATCAAAGATCCTTGGGCCACCTCTATCTTCAAACAGAGGAGTTAGTACAAGGGTATCTGGAGAGGTAAGGAGGCTTAAATTACAACAGAACTGCTGACAAGCAGAGTCACACTAAAGGTTTTTTTAAGAGCTGTGGGATTATGTCCAGAGCATTGTGTTTGGTTGTGGACCTCCAGAATAAGAGATACTGTAACATCCAGTGGAGGGCAAGTGAAACTCTTGATCATTTTGCAGACTTCTGCAAGCCTTTTCTTGTAACTGCTGTGGTTTGCCTTTCTTCTATGCCTAGTGTTAAATTTTTACTTCCTTGTGACTGTCGTATTCCTGCTGCCCTACAAGATTCGCGTTTGGAAGATGTTTGTATCCCAAGATAAATCTGTGTATGCTGTTTCTTCGTGCCTCAAGTAAGAAGTAAGAAAAGCACACAATACGCATGTTCACAGGTATTTGGGTTGTATTTCAGACCCTGCAATTCAGACTCAGGATAACTCTGAGAGTGGAAGAGTAGATTTTCAGCTTGACTCATCACAGGGACCATCAGCAGACAAGAACAGTCATAGGAGATTATCTTTAAAAGATGCATCCAAAACCACGTGGAAGATAACCAGTGGTATGGTGCTCATATTATGTTATTTTATATTAAAGTTGTGTGTGGTGTGGAGGACTGACTGACTGACATAAATTTCAGAGCACCCAGAAGCAGTTAATAGAAAATATAAATGTATGTGTTGTGGAGGATTGTGGAAATAAAACACCTTGCAAGAGAATTGATTTTAAGCATTGATAAAGATTTGCAGGATTAGGCAGAGTGCCAGGGCAGTGGATGAATAAAAAAAGAAAAATTTCATGCTCTCTTGATTAAAGTGAAAGAACTAAAAATAATTTATTCTTTAAATCCCTATTAAATTTAACACTAAAGACTCAAACATCACATGTGTGAGAACTTTTACTTGTCCCAGATAAGAGTTTAGGATATTAATTATGGTGTCTATGTAATATCAGGGGGATTTGGTTTTGTTTTTAAAGTTCAGTGGTGAAATTACTTTTTTTTCCCCACAGAAGGCCACATCAGTTTATGGTGTATTTCCCTTTCACACCTATCTGCCAAAAGGTGTGGGTTTTTTTTGTCATGCAGTGTCAACTTGCTTTGTATATGCCTGGAAAGTACATAATGTGGCAAAAATAATCCTTAATTCTATGAAAAAGTAGTGTTACTTTCTATTGAAAGGTGTAGCCATCATTAACCAAAGAAATTTTCATTCATATTGTGGGTTATTTCCATTTTGTTTAATCATTGGGATTTTTGAAAGCATTGTATACTGGGACAATGACAGTAATCCATACTTGCTGTTAGGGGTTTTTTGTTATTTTACTGCATGCGTTTATGAGAATGAAAGCTGTTGTAACCCCATAAACCCCAGGATTGATGTTCTAGTCAGGAAACTCCCAACAACTGATCTTGCCTCATAGTCAACAAGTCACAAGCTTTGTTCAGTGGTGATGACTTAGCCAAAAGCATAGCTCTGCCACTTAGAATCATAGAACAAACTTGGTTGGAAAAGACCTTTAAGATCATCAAGTCCAACTTCTGATAAAGTGCTAATGCACATACACCTATGACAAGTCAGTGGCACAAAACCACATTCCCCAAGCAAAATCAAGCCTCTGTGGTCTCTGGCTCCCCACCTCTACTGTGGTCAAAACAAGTTCTGTCAACAAGAAGTGTGAGTAAATATTGATACAAATATCATGGGGATAGTGGAGCTTTCATAAGTGATTACCTTAGAGGTTAGTCACTGCTAACCTCTGATTAAGGTTCTGATTACCTTAGAGGTTAGTCCCTGCTATTCATGATAGTATCTTTTAGATATATTATAGACCTCAGTTCAGCATGTCTTCTGTAGCAGGTGTGCAGTACCTTTACCAAGGTAAATTGTTTTAAAGCAAGGGATAAAATGAGTGTTGTTTATAGTTTGTCAGTCTTATTTAGGTAAGACTGAAACATTCATTAAAATGTTCGGCTGTATTAGAAGCTTTAGCATAAGTCTCACTATGTAGAAGAACTAGTTAGATGTTTAGGTGATAATTCTTGCATCTATCTTGTTTGTTGCAGTGTTGTGATTACAGAGTAGTTCGCATATTTTGCTAAAGTACTCTAAATCGTTCATTAAAATTGATACGGAAACACTGAGTTAAAAAGAAAATCCAGTAAGTGCAGTTTGTGGTAGAGAGATAATAGGATTTGATTTGGTCCAAAACTTCCCCTGTCTTTCACTTGAAGTCTGTCAACAGAATGCCACACTGACTACAGGTTGCAGAAATTGCTGAACTTCATAGCATAAAATGCCATCTTAAAGCCTTACAGACTTTTCTGTCTTCCCCTGCATAATACTTGCATTTAACTTTCCACTAACACAACCATGTATGAGTCTTGGAAACATCTCTGGAAGCAAGTGCTCTTTACAGACATTAGATTAAACAACCTGAATACTCAGGCTAAATATTATGCAGACACTAAAACTTTTAAAGTGCTTCTTTATATTTCTGAAGTGCTTTACATCTGAGTAAAGACATTATTTTTAATCACAATGGGAAGTGATGTGTATGAAGTTTTTGGATGTCTGGGGCAGAACCAGTAGAAGGAGGCAGGAGTTTAAGTGTCTTAACTGCTTCCTATTCTCTGAACACTTGACAAAAACTGTTACTTTAGATTTTTTCTTTCATATTTTGATACTTTGTTCAAAACTGGCTTAAAATCTCAAACCCCAAGTGGTTTGACACCTTTTCTTTTGCTTCAGAATTCATTACAAAATTTTATCTCTAATGACCTCTGCAAATTAAACAGCAACAACTGCATTAGAAGGCATTCTAAAATGAGAATAGAAAGGTGAAGCAGTTGGGGAAGCTGGTTGTTATTAGGTCAGTAGGCCATAATAAATATGAAGCCATTTCTCCCTACTCATTCACTGTCCTTTGTGCATAAGAATTAGCAGGTTCTCATGAAGTGCTTGTGTATAACCATAGAGGGCTCTTTACAGTGGTCTGAACTATTAGTGCGTATTTGAAAACTGCAAATACAGCATGATACATGTCAAACCTAATTTCATGATGGGCGAAAAGGCCTTCTGAATACTAAAGGAGTATATGTTACACATCTTGGTCTTCTTCAAGCCACTGCCATTGAAACCTGGTAAAATGTGTCTAGATTAAGCTGAAAGGGTGGGTGCCAGATTGTTCAGAAGATCACAGAGTGCTAAGATAGGAAAAATATTTTAGCAAAGTAAATTTTGAAGATATTTTTTGTTTTGAAGAATGCAGCAAGGTGAAAATTTTTATATAGTTGTCTTGGGGAAAAAAAATAAAGAGTTTAAACCACTGTAGATTTAGCATCCAAAACATAATTCCAGTTTGCTGACTAAGCATCTTGAGTGATCAAAGACAGGACAATTCTGCTCTACTATCCTCCTTTGAAAAACTTGTAGCTGTTGATCAGAAGAGAAGGTCATTTGGCTTATACAAATGAAAGTTGGTTCTTAAAAGTTTTGAATGTCTTAAAAGCACTAATGTCTTTGAGGCTCTTGAAAAGACTAGACCAACACATACCTAAAATAAATTACATTACTTACATATTTGTATTTCATGTCTTTATTAAAAGCAAGGTGACATTTCTATATACTTGCAAAATAGACCTTTTTCTGTACAGTAGACAACGATCTACTAGATTGTTTTTAAGCAGCATGATTATCTAAAATAAAAAGAATTTACTTGAAAAAGCTTGGGGCTTATGCCTATAGATGGTCTTCATCTACACACTGAAGTCTCTTCTGGAACATGTAGGTGTAAGCCATCCATGTGTCAGGTCCCCACTTTTCACTGATTCCTAGTACAAGCTGCTGTTTAGAATATTGGAGTTTGGCAGCTTTACTAGCTATCTTTAGTAAACTGGGAAAATCACAGCAACTCAGTGAGAAAACAACTGTTTCTCCTAGCATCTCCCTCATCAAATCCCTCATAAAAAAAATGAGATGTCATCAAATGAAGTCTCAGCCTTCATTTATGGTGGCTGAGACTTTCTTTTTTATCTCTCAAAGCAGCTCAATCTGCCTGAAAGTGATAATTCTCTCTAACAAAACTAAAAAGACTAGAATTCCATAACAAACTTACTGTCTTCTGTGACAGCAAGGATTTTATTAGTGCAGTGCTATTTCATTATTATGGTCTTAGTAATTTTTTATTGAGGCTTTTTTAATACGGTTGATGGTAAATTTGTTTTATGGAGCCAGAAAGTTTCAAGATCTAGTGAATAATCCACACCACACTACTTTGAATGAAGATAAGGGAGTATTGCATACTTGAGCAATTCTCCTTTTCTCAGATGCTGTTTGAAATTGGTTTTAATAAATCAAATTGACATTTTTTTCTATACAATCATTCCAAACAGTAAAATGTAAGTTAACAGTAAGAGTACAGAAATGGCCTTTTCATGTTTATCTGGAGCACTCAATCTTTAAATGCCTTTCTGTAGCTTATTGTTGGTTTAAAATTGGCAGTTTAGTACTGCCTGTATTCAGGGAAACTTGGTGAAACAGAGATCTTGACTCACTTTTCATGTCATACTATTTTTCATCAGAGCTATAGTTTGAAATTGAGATTTAAACCATAGGTTCTGGACATAAAGTGTAGAATTTCTGTAAGAAAGAAGCATCAGTTTGTAATATCAACTTTCCACCAACTATGTGTGTTTTCTTTTTTAAATGTCAACCACAAAAAAGTCTAAAGAAGATCAATAGCCAAATTTAATAAAATTATGTTTTCCTAGAATGGAATTCAATTGAACAGCTTCAAATCTTAACAGTTAAATAGTTTCAGATTTGTACATTGCAGGTTTGCACGTCATCTATCAGAGCCTGTGGATTTCTTGAACTGTGATCTGGAAATGTTCTGATTTAACCTTGCCTCACCTGGAAAGCAGCCTGATCTTTTTCATTGCATCCTCCTCACACTTCCAGCTGTATAAATCTGATAAGCAGAATGTTTCTGTATTAGAAAAATTTCTTTTGCTGTACAACTTCCAAAGAAAATGAGTGATCAGGGTAATGTGAAACTTACATATTTGGCATTAAAATAAGCATTTTACGTTTCAGATGAATGGGTATTTCCAAAAAGTCTCACTGAGAGTGTTCAATTGGATAGGAGCGAGCAGTTTGTAGCTGATGAAGATTCAGCCTGCTGTAATGTAACCTTGCCAAAGAATGCCTCAGTTGAACATCACAGCAATGAAACAGGTGATCACCAAGTGAATAATAAAGAGACTTTCACATTTTCATCAAGACCTCGATCTGCTCCTCATGGGAATTCTCCAGATACATCACCAGGATGTGGCATTTTCCATTTGGATTTGAGGCAAGATAGTAACGGAGTACATGGGAAAACCCAGATTGAAGATAATATTCAAGGAGCTGACAGCAGTGAAGAGGTAGGCTACTTTGTACATGTAATTATTGATAAAGTAGTCTTCATTGTAAAACTCCTAAGATGAGATTCTGTCTTTAGGCAATACAGGGGATAAATCATCTTTTTCCCTGTATATCTCCAGGTAGATTTGTCTTTGTCAGGGTGCTTTGCCTAACTGGATAGAGCTGTGAAAATCATAAAATGGTTTGGGTTGGGAGGGACCATAAAGCTCATCTACCTCCAGCCCCTCACCACAAGCAGGGTCACCTTCCACTAGATCAGGTTGCTCAAAGCCCCCTCCAACCTGACCTTGAATGCTGTAAGGAATGGGGCAGCCAAAGCTTGGTGGGGCAACTTGTTCCCTCTGTAACATGTAGACAAAAGAAACCTAAACCTGTCAGCCCTTGTGCCAACAGAGATGTGAGTATCGTGCATGTTTACAGCAAAAAAGATTTTAGGAAAACCTGCATCACAGATTTGAGCAAGATGTAAGTCTGTTAGGGTTGAGCAAGAGTGGGGAAAATAAGGCTTTCATGTGCCTTTTAAAACTGCAAGCTGTGACTCTTTTGCCCACCACTATTGTCAAAAGTGAGTTAAGAAATTTCAGCTTTTTAATATCAGTTGATGATTGGTATTTCTACTTTATGTCCTGTCTGAGCTGTGTCAGCATCACCAACTTCAGTTCTTTTGCAGTGTGGCAATCATTCAGCAATAAATTTAATGAAAGAAAAGAAATACTTCTTTATCAAATGTATCAGCTGTTTCTATATAGAAATTCACCAAGCTGTCAATGCACTCAATAGTTGTTTTGTGTCATGGTAACTACTAAAACAGTTTCTAACTTTTATGAACATTCTATTTCATTTTGAATTATAAAATCTGTTCTTTAGCATTCTGCTCTGTTGCATATAGCTGAGAAATAAAATGCAGCCGAGTTTCATAACAGCAAGATGGACTGAACTGCTTTATGTTCTGCATCTCTGAGAACCCAAAATGCTGATGTTAATTATGAGAAACACAAATTTTCTCTTCTTCTGTAGTTGTGGGACATTTACTATTATCTAGGGCAGTGTATTATTTATTAACTTAAACCCATAAGACTTTATCTCAAGCAAAGTTCTAGAATTTCAGAATTAAATCAGTTTTAGCTAACCTGGTAGTTCACAGCTACAGGATGGGCAGACAAGAGATTTGGAGCAGCCCTGCGGAGAAGGACTTGAGGGGTATTGGTGCATGAGAAAATGAACAGGAGCCGGCAGTGTGCCCTCGCACCCAGAAAGCCAACCGTATCCTGGGCTGCCTCAAAAGGAGCGTGACCAGCAGGTCGAAGGAGGTGATCCTGCCCCCTGCTCTGCTCTTGTGAGACCTCACTTGGAGTATTGTGTGCAGTTCTGGTGTCCTCAACATAAAAAGGATGTGGAACTGTTGGAACAAGTCCAGAGGAGGCCACGAGGATGATCAGGGGACTGGAGCACCTCCTGTATGAAGACAGGCTGAGAAAGTTGGGACTGTTCAGCCTGGAGAAGAGAAGGCTGCGTGGAGACCTCATAGCAGCCTGCCAGGATCTGAAGGGGGCCTCTAAGGATGCTGGGGAGGGACTCTTCATTAGGGACTGTAGTGATAGGACAAGGGGTAGTGGGTTAAAACTTAAACAGGGGAAGTTTAGATGGGATAAAATGAAGAAGTGTTTTACTGTAAGGGTGGGGAGGCACTGGGATGGGTTGCCCAGGGAAGCTGTGAATGCTCCATCCCTGGCAGTGTTCAAGGCCAGGTTGGACAGAATCTTGGCTGACATGGTTTAGTGTGAGGTGCCCCTGCCCATGGCAGGGAGGTTGGAACTAGATGATCTTAAGGTCCTTTCCAACCCTAACTATTCTATGATTCTATGAGCAGTACTATATGAGATACCATTCTAAAAATGTAGAACCGTTTTGATTTCAAAGAATTCTTTTATTAAATTTGTAGAAAGTATTATCTACAAAAGTATTTACTTAATTGTAATACATAAGAGACAAGTTGAATTTCAGGATGAATTTCAAATAAATAAGTATTTATTCTCTTTATGTTGCATATACTATGAACCATAAAATGCACAGAATATCTGTGCTAGAACTATACAGTTTTTGTAACTTCAGGCTTTTGGGGTGGGAATGTTTCATTCTGCAAACTGAAAACAGCATTTCTAAATTACCCTTACTGGTTTCTAATTAGTAACTGAAATAGTCCAATGCTGTTATTCAGTTATCAGAGTCAAATAATCAGTTTAAGATAAAAATTGCTACTTCTCCTGGAACCATTCATCATCAAGTGACTTATCTTGTGATTCTAGGCGTGCATGTGCTTTCATCTCGAATTTCTGTCAGGGACTATGTACAGGTAAACTTGCCATGGCAGCATTTATGGTTTCTGCCCAACCCAGAGCAACCCCGAGAACTCTTTATTAGACTGTGACTGTGGCAGGTGTGACCATATGTCACATAGTGCTATCAAAAATGTGTTCTACGTGTAACTGCCAAGTTCATCAGAGAAGCCTTCAATGAAGAAACTGAGAATTTTTCTGTCCTTCTACAGTTCAAAGAATGAAGAAGTAAGATAATGTGCCCTTACAAAGGCTGATAGATGACTTCACTCTGATACCTCGGGATTAAAGCTTGGTGTACACAAGGGCTGTATCCATCTAGGTGGCCCTCTAGAGTCATCAGAATGATTTTAAAATTACAACACAGCAAAAGCAGTCAGTTTTATGTATCCAGAACTGCCATCTGCATCTTTCAAGGAATACATCACATCAATGGAAGTGCTTGTTCCTCAGGAAAATGAGTCTCATCTTCAGTTTACATATGCTGTGCTACAGTTAATCAAGCAAACTTTATTGATGTTTCTGGCACCATGTCATGATTTAGTATTTAACAAATTATTCAAGAGCCTAAATAAGTATGAACTAGTGGAAGAGACATGGAAAGGCTGGAGGAATTTAAGCTTTAGATAAATCAGAGTTGTCCATTTATCTCTAATGTGTGTGTGAAAAAAAATACAGGGCTTTCTTTAGTAGTATTGCATCCTCAGTTAACCTAAGTTAATGTGGGTTTCCAGCACAGATTTTAAGATAACTTATGGCAAATAAAAATCCATGGAAAAGAGGGAAATATAGATTGCTGTTTCAAGGCAATTACTAAGTGAGGGACTAAAACTTCCAAAACATTTATCATTAATAAAATTGATGGATTATTTTCTTGAATGTGCATTTTATTCTGTGTAATCCAGTCTTGGACTCACTGAAATCAGTACCTTGAATATAAATACTTGGATCACTTTCATGAGCAGTAGGACTGCACCTTGGCTGTGGGAGGCATAATGAAGATGGTATTTCAATGTCTTAATTGAATCTTGTAATACATACGTACTGTCTTGCATCCACTGTGGTGGCATATGGCAGATGACCAGCATGATGAAATTGAGATGAGGCCTCTCTTTCTTTCATTCGTTAGGGTTGGAAAGGATAAGAATCATCTGAGCAAATGCAGGGATGTGTTATCACCCAAGGCCTTTATTTTTCTTTCACAATGTGTTTGAAAGTCTTCTTATATTATTGTTGAGTTTTGTGGTGTGAGTCCTATCATCATCTCTATTCTGGTGTATTTTGCAGAGACATTGTTTCAAGCATGAATTTAAGGTTAACAAAGTAATCTCCAAAACTCTTAAATGATATTCAAATGGCCCTTGCTGAACTTGATACAGTTCCATGTCTTTTTTTATGTTGAGGACACCAGAACTGCACACAATACTCCAGGTGAGGTCTCACAAGAGCAGAGTAGAGGAGCAGGATCACCTTCGACCTGCTGGTCATGCTCCTTTTATGCAGTTGAAGATACGGTTGGCTTGCTTCATGTTCATGAAAATAGCACCCCCAATATTAATAATTCAGTGAAAAGACCTGAGCACATGCTGGATGTGTTTCCCCATTATTTTTATTTCCATATGTTTGGTCTTGAAGTTTATTGTTGAGATGTGGTGTGAGTGAACATCATACTCTTGATTCATGGCATATTTTGCAGAGACATTGTTTTAAGCATGAATATAAGGTTAAATTGATCCCCAAAACTCTTTAATGGTACTCAAATGATGCTGAATGTGATATTCCAGTATTGTCACTGGTGAGTGATGTGATCTCAGCATGAGTTATTCCTTCTACGTTTAAGTTGAAGATGTGATATGAAAATATGGAATATTAATAATTCAGTGAAAAGACATAAGTGTGGAGTTTTTGCTTTAGGTTTACAGTTGTAATAAATTTTATTGAAATGATGATCGTAGTGTAACACTCAGGTTTGGGAGGTTACCAGCATTCTAAATTTGGGCTGACATTTTGAAAAGTGCCATCTTGTCTCCCTCTCCTTCTCTTTCTGCTTTTGATTACTTTATGTAAGATGTTTGTGCTGTACTCAGTGTAGTTGCCAGGAAGAGCAGCTGGTTTTCAGAATCCTTACAGACTGAGAATTAAGCAGCAGAGATTAAAGAGCCATTTTCAAATGTTAAGGTTATGTAAAACTGCACTGTGTGATGATGAGAGGGAATCATTCTTGCTTTGTTTCCTAAAATTAGGATGACAACAGTGAATTTATCCAGAGAACAGAGAACCTTGAGATCAGCCACAGCAGGCCTGGAACACCTGATTCAGCAGTTTTTAAAGACAGCCCGTTAAAGAGGATGTCATGGAGAAATGACTCCTGGAAGAATAAGGGACACAGCAAACATGACCTCAAAGAGACTATCTTATCAAAACCACAGAGTTCCACTGTGAGCAAAACAGATTCTGTTAGCTCTCAGAAAAGCTTAAAGCCTACTCTTTCTCTGTCTCCAACCGGAAGTAAATCGGCATTCTTTAAAGAATTTCCAAATGGATCTGAGAAAAATGAAAGCTATGAAAGAGTTTCTGATCAATTAAAAAGATCTGTCAGTAAAAAATCTCTGAAGAAGATCTCAAGAGAAAATTCGTGTCTGACAACACAGAGTTTTGTAAGTGATTCGTACTTTGAAATTGAGTTACTAGATTGTATAGAAAGCTATATTAGATAAACTCATTTTCACCAACTGAGAAATAATACGTGTTTCATCCAGATACATTCTGGTTTCATCATAACAGTATTTACTGAGCTCAGTCTATTCAAAGTTGATTTTGTAGTTTTTTGAGGCACACAAAATAGTACTCCAAATAGAAATCACAGAGGTTTACAGATAAAAAGAAGTGTCATTGAGCAGCTCACATTTTGGAAATATGTCAGTTTTGGTGTGAAAGATTACAAAGGAAAATCAACAGACTTTGAATTGATAGATTAATGGGGGACCATAGAAAAAGTGTTAATGTAGATCACAGAATAGTTAGGGTCTCCAGCCCCCTTGCCATATGCTAAAGCAGCCTGTTCATGGCCAAAAATAATAAATACAACCAGTGCAAGCTGCCGGTAGTTTGAGCCACTTCTGGCCAGCAGTAAGGCTGTGTCACTGTAGAGCCACTGACAAGGAGTGTAAATTCCCAGACTGGTTTGTGGGTACTAAACCCCCTGCCATGGGAATTGTTGCAGCCCTGGAAAATAATAAATTTTGTGTTGTGTTTGTTCCTGAATTTTTACATTCATCAAAGTGTTGGTTTATTCCTGGATTTTTTTTTTTTTTTTTCTTCATGGAGTCTCCTTATGGAAACATGCAGTAATTCAAAGAACAAGTACGAAGCTAATTCTTCTCTTTTCAGCTTATAATGAAGTATTTTGAATCAGGAACTGGAGCTTAAGAATCAAGTATATTCTGTAAATCACAAATGAAATAGTATGTTTATGTTCCATGGTTTTGGATAGAATTCTTTTGGGCTTAGAATTAGTGCAGATTTGTATTTTATAACATGTGACCTCTTCTATAAATGTGTTAGGAGTAGATCAGATTTATTCCTGAGCATCTGAGTGAAACAGGCCACACTTCCTCCTCAGGCTTCAGGAATCTTCTTTTTTCAGACATCAGCTAATACCCTGTGAGACCAAAGATGTATGTAGCTGGCATCTTCTGTCCAGCAGCACTCAGTTGCTGAGGGTTAGGAAAAGAAAAAACAAACAGCAAGGAGAGAGCAAGCACCCAGTGCTACCTCCCCAACATGCCCTGCAGGCTGCCTTCCAGCAGCCCCATAGCTAAGCAATTCCTTCAGTGAAAAGCATTGTCTTTGTGGTGTGTAACTGGTGGAATTTTTTTCCATAGATGTGTGTAGCTGCTTTTTGTAGCTGTATGGCCTTTGGCTGTGAAAGTGGATTTCAGAGTTTTAACTACTGTGTGTGGGGAAAAAAATACTTATCTCCTTTTATTTGTTTAGAATGCACTGGCTCACTCCTGGTGCTTTCTCATTCTTGTCTTTGTTACAAGAAACAATGAATAATCTTTTTTAATTACTGTTCTTACCTGTGCCACTTATTATTTGATGGCTGTGTATCCTATACCCCTGCAACTGTCTCTTCTACAAGTCAAGGAGTTTTAGGGTATTTAGTCCCAGGATTGCTGTTCTTTAAACCTTTTTGTCATTTTACCCAAGAATGTTCAATCTTGCAACTGCATGATCATTGATGTAAGAGTGGGTTTTGGATAGTAATATCTTGAAATGGATACCACTGCTGGGACCACAAGAATAAATGCCTCATCCCTGGCAGTGTTAAAGGCCAGGCTGGATGGGGCTTGGAGCAACCTGCTGTAGTGGAAGGTGTCCCTGCCTGTGTCAGCGGTTGGAACTGGATGAGCTTTAAGGTCCCTTCCAACACAAACCATTGTAAGAGTATCTTCTTTGTGGCTCTTTGAAACAGTTACACATGTTCTTGGGAAAATTTAATTAATTTTTATTAAGAATGTTGTTAATTTTAAGATTTATACAATAAGCTGTTTGAATGTGTCTTCTGACCTCATACATATGCCAAGTGGTTTTGCTGGAGCACTTCTGCAGGAAGAAACTAGTATTCTAGGACCTGTATGTTTCAGGAAAAGAAGTGCTGACATATACTAACTACAGTGAGAGAACACTGGAGACTTTTTTTGTTGGCTGTGGGCATGTAATAATTTTATTTCCATTTTGAAACAGTGCTCATTGTTTTAAGAATGATGTATGAAAGGATGGTTTTGTATGAGAGGGTACTGGAGTTTACGGAGAAGTAGACTTTTCTAATCTGCTTATATGGAGGACTGCTAAAGAAAAAAAATGCTTAACCAAGTCTTCCTGGAGTCAATTTGCTAACTACTTAATACACTTTAAGGACTTGGTTGCTTGCAATGTTTTATTCATGTTTTAATAGAGTTCTCTATTATTAATTTCAAATATTTTCAATTAAGGAAGAAGTGCAGCCCTCTGGGTAATATTGCAAGCATGCAGATAGCTGGCAATTAAAGTTTTCTGCACATGTAACTACACTCACACAATCCTGAGTAAATTGTTTGAACCTAGAAGAATGCAAATGTCATTATATATAAAAAAAACTTTCCAAAATGTTTTGTCAATCTAGTGACAGTGTTAAGCATTTAATAAAAATACTTTATCAGAAGGGGAGGATATGCAGAAAGAGAAGATAAGCTTTTAATTACTAAATGAAATATTAATTTTAGGCAAATTTACGAGTATTGCAAAATTAATTCTTACATCAGAAGTTTCTCCTAAATTACAGAGTGAACTTAACTTCAAATTCTATTTTCAAATGTTCTCTTTGAAAATTGCCTGAGACAATACAAGATCTGTGAGGAGGCTGTTCTGTAGTGGGCATCTCAAGCTACAAAATAAGTAGTCCAAACTATTTCTCCTTTCTTACAAAGAGTTTATTGTACGCAATGTTTAGCACAGAAAACTGATATGACATCTGTTCTCCTTTCTGAATGTGGTGTTTCTAGAGTGAGACCGTAACATGTAAAGAAAGCAGGATGGCAACTTGAAATAAGCTTGGGGAGGGAGGAACAAATGTTTTGAATTGTTTTGTAGAACTTCATAGAATAGTTAGGGTTGGAAAGGACCTTAGGGTTATTTAGTTCCAACCCCCTTGCCATGGGAGGCATCTTTCTTCATAGCTGTAAAAGAAAAGAGAAGCAGGCTTGGGCAATGTGTTTTTTTTAATTGAAATGAGAAGGAGAAAAAATGTTATTTCAATGCTTAGTGATTTTATTTTGCATAGCACTGGCTCATGCTGCCATTTTAATGCTGCATGCCAGTTGCTTCATATATGAGGGAAGAAAGATATGCTGAAGCTTCTCTTATAATAATCAAATAAATGCAGGGGGCACCTATATAAGAAAATAAATAGGACTTCAGCATCTTAAGTAAGATCAATAAAAGCTATAGCAGCTGTAGATCTGGTAGAATACTAATACAACAAAGCAGTCTTTCCAGTGTAACATAGCAAGCTTCATATGAGGTGAACAAATAATGAATAGTAACTGAGCTAATAACGAACAGTAACTGAGCTAATAACTTACATTCAGTAAGGGTCTAGGCAAAACATCCTGTATTATTTTAGAATAAAAATGGTAGTAATAATGTATTCAGGAATGAAGCCTGGACCTCAAAAGCCACAGATACAAAAGGGGTGGCAGCTGTGCTGACAGCTTCTGTCATCACCTTACACCTTGTACAAAGTGGCAGACTACATATATGGGTGCCAAAAAATAGCCTCTGAGTTCTTGAGGGTTTTTTTGCTAGTGAAAGTGAGCACTTTGTGTGTGAAATACTAAGCCATGTATGTAAAAATCTAGGATATATGCATGCCTTATTGTACTGGTTCCCTAAAATAAGAAGAATCAGTGTCCAGTGTCTTAACATCTTCTGTGGGCCATATACATCATACCTCTGTGGAGCTGAATCATAGAATCATAGAAACATAGAATCGTTAGGGTTTGAAAGGACCTTAAGATCATCTAGTTACAACCCCCCTGGTGTGGGCAGGGACACCTTATGCTAAATCATATCACCCAAGGCCTCTTCCAACTTGGTCTTGAACACTGCCAGGGATGGAGCATTCACAACCTCCCTGGGCAACCCATTCCAGTGCCTCACCACCCTAACAGGAAAGAATTTCCTTCTTATATCCAATCTAAACTTCCCCTGTTTAAGTCTTTAATGAAGAGTCCCTCCCCAGCATCCCTATAGGTCCCCTTCTGATATTGGAAGGCTGCTATAAGGTCTCCACGCAGCCTTCTCTTCTCCAGGCTGAACAGCCCCAACTTCCTCAGCCTGTCTTCTACGGCAGGTGCTCCAGTCCCCTGATCATCCTTGTGGCCCTTCTCTGGACTTGTTCCAACAGTTCCATGTCCTTTTTATGTTGAGGACACCAGAACTGCACACAATACCCCAGGTGAGGTCTCACAAGAGCAGAGTAGAGGGGCAGGATCACCTCCTTCGACCTGCTGGTCACGCTCCTTTTGATGCAGCCCACGATACGGTTGGCTTTCTGGGCTGCAAGCGCATGCTGCCGGATCATGTTCATTTTCTCATGGACCAGCACTCCCAAGTCCTTCTCCGCAGGGCTGCTCTGAATCTCTTCTCTGCCCAACCTGTAGCTGTGCCTGGGATTGCTCCGACCCAGGTGTAGGACCTTGCACTTGTTGTCATGGTTAAACTTCATGAGGTTGGCATCAGCCCACCTCACAAGCGTGTCATGGTCCCTCTGGATGGCATTCCTTCCCTCCAGGGTATCAACCAAACCACACAGCTTGGTGTCATCGGCAAACTTGCTGAGGGCGCACTCAATCCCACTGTCCATGTCACTGACAAAGATGTTAAACAAGACCGGTCCCAACACCGATCCCTGAGGGACGCCACTCGTTACTGGTCTCCAGCCGGACATTGAGCCATCAACCACAACTCTGTGCGTGCGGCCATCCAGCCAGTTCTTTATCCACCGAGTGGTCCATCCATCAAATTGATGTCTCTCCAATTTAGAGACAAGGATGTCGTGTGGGACAGTGTTGAACACTTTGCACAAGTCAAGGTAGATGACATCAACTGCTCTACCCTTGTCCATTAATTCTGTAGCTCCATCATAGAAGGCCACCAAATTGGTCAGGCAGGATTTCCCCTTAGTGAAGCCATGCTGGCTGTCACCAAGCACCTTGTTGTTTTTCATGTGCCTTAGCATGCCTTCCAGGACAATCTGCTCCAAGATTTTGCCAGGCACAGAGGTGAGACTGACTGGTCTGTAATTCCCCGGGTCATCCGTTTTCCCCTTCTTGAAAATGGGGTTATATTTCCCTTTTTCCAGTCATCGGGAACTTCACCTGACTGCCATGATTTCTCAAATATGATGGCCAGCGGCTTCGCAACTTCATTTGCCAGCTCCTTCAGGACCCGTGGATGGACCTCATCAGGTCCCATGGACTTGTGCACATTCAGATTTTTAAGATGGTCTTGAACCAGTTCCTCTCCTACAGTGGGCACAAGGTCTTCATTCTCACAGTCCCTGCATCTGCCTTCCAAGACTTGGAATTGAGCCTGTATAATATCTTATTAATCACTCACACATATCCGTGAGTGTTTTGAAAAACAAATGTCCTGTTTGTGTGGTACCGTAATGTCATGGTTTAAACCAAGCCACGCAGCTCACTCACTCACTCCCCTCTTTCTTGCCCTCCCCCCACTCCCAGAGGGATGGGGAGGAGAATCAAAAGAATGCAACTCCCATGGGTTGAGATAAGAACAGTCCAGTAACTAAGGTATAACACAAATCACTGCTGCTACCACCAATGATAATAATGATAAAGGAAATCACAAGGGAAGAGAATACAACACCTCACCACCATCCGACCGATAACTCACCACCCCAGCCCGACCGAGCACCGACCCGTACCAAGTCCAACCCCACAGTCCACTAGCCCTTCTGGGTAACTCTCAGTTACAGCCTCGGCATGATGTGCTGTGGTATGGAATACTTCTTTGGTCAGTTCGGGTCAGGTGTCCTGTCTCTGCTTCCTCCCGGCTTCCCCTCCTCCCTGGCAGAGCATGAGGCTCAGAAAGTCCTTGGCCAGTCTAAACATTTGAGCAGCAACTAAAACCATCGGTGTTATCAGCGCTGTTCCCAGGCCAAAAGTAAAAAACGTCGCACTGCACCAGCTACTAAGAAGGAGAAAAATGACTGCTACTGCTGAACCCAGGACACATAACCTGAAGGTATTAAATGTTGCTGTACTGTTTATTTTAAAGTAATTTATTTTAGTTTATACACTAGCAAGTTACCAAAATAACTTTTAAAATTTAGTGCTGACATGTGTTGCTTTCCAGAGAAATTTTATGTTGTACTTGACAAGTAACTAAATGTTATGTTGCTGGTGTTTATGGTGCTATGATAACTGTGTGATCGGGTTTATTTCAAGATTTGCATTTGATGCTTAAGCATAGCTGCTGGGTTTTTGAACTTCTGAAATCCTGCTTTTATCTTCTGTTTGTAATTGCAGTAGAACAGCAACTTCACCAAACACCCAGGATCCAGACTGTAGTCCATAACAGTGTTTGTGTTCTTCCTTCTGTAATTACATCTGAATATGTTTGATATTCGTAGCTGAGCAGGAATCTGTTAACTAATCTTTTCTAGTAAACATGTTTTAGTGTTGTAGCTTCTAGAAGATTCCCCACGAGATTCTCCAGTGTATTTCTTTCATTCCCATATTCTGTTCAGTGAGCCTGTCTATATTGTTGACTACTCCATTTTATTTCACAGGAGTATGACTGGGAAAACTACCAGTCAAATAGACTCAGTTCATCTGAACTACAGATGCTGGCTAGCATGAAGAGACAGCAAAGTGAAGAATCAGGGGATACTGGGATCTCCCATGGGCTGAGTGCATCACAGATGAATAACTGCAATGTTAGCCTAAGTACAAGCAGTGAAGATACAGCATCCTGGAACTCTTGTTTCCCACCTGTAAGTCTAACGCCACAGTATTTTCTCTATAGTTTCTGTCAATTCTGAGACTCAAGGATCTTGAATATCAAAATGTGTTTGAGTAGCTTTGAAATTTAAGATACCACTACCAAACATTTTTAGAACTTAGCAGGTAAAACCTGCAACCAAAACACATGCACTTCCAGCAGGTCCTGTAGTACCACCATGGACAAAGAGCAAATCTGATACATAGAATCATAGAATGGTGTGGGTTGGAAGCGACCTTCAAGATCATCTAGTTCCAACCCCCTGTCACGGTCAAGGACACCTTCCACTAGACCAGGTTGCTCAAAGCCCCATCCAACCCAGCCTTGAACACTTTCAGGAATGGGGCATCCACATCTTCTCTGGGCAGCCTGTTCCAGTGTCTCACCACCCTCATTGGGATGAACTTCTTCCTAACACCTAATCTAAATCTTCCCTCTTTTAGTTTAAAGCCATTACCCCTTTTCCTGTCACTACATTGGCCTTTTAAAAAGTCAAAGAAACCTCAATTAAATTACTTCTGTAGTCCCACTGAACGCTTACAGGTTAACATTACTTGCTTACTTGTATGTATTTTTTAAATACTAAACCAGATTAAATGATATCACCAGGTTTAAGTAGAAAATCTGTGGAAGAACAAAGAGCAGAAGCCAAATCTTATGACTCTAAAAAACAACCTTTTTAGACATGTTAAAATGATCATGCTGCCCATTCCTATCTTAGATAGTTGTCCTGGTTTTGTCTGAAATATATTAATTTTCTGCATAGCAGCTGGTATGTATTCCTTTCTAGAATCCTGAGTAATCATGTAGGCTGTGCAGCTTGTAAGGTAGTGGCTGGCAACCTGCAGGTATGTGGTATAGTACCTAAAGATATTTCCAAAATGAGTAAAGCCCAGATATACCAGTCAGCAACTACATTATAGTGTGAGTAATGGAAGATAATTCCTTCTCATGATGATAAAGTCTTATGACTGAAAAGGTAACTGTTGAAAGCACTGAAGGAGAAGAACAGCAGCAAAAAGCTGCAGTAGTTCTGAGCTTTTACTGTGTGATCCTTCTGTATTTCACACCTTGTATCCTTATTTGTCCTGGTACAAGCTGCACTATGTGACAGAGTATTGTTACAAGAAGCAGAATATTTGTTACAGTCCACTGAAGAGTACTGAATGTATGAAATCACAGAATAACATTTCAGCTCCTATATAAAGGTGCTTGCAGGACCTGCTGTAAAACTAGATAATCCCATTCTCCATTTATATCTCAGCAACATAGTTCTTGATTTACTATAGGTGAAACAATAATAAACACTGAATGTGGCTTAAGTAAAGCACACTACACAACTCTCAGAGGACAATCCGATGTTAGAAGAGTAAACACTGCTGTGTTGACCCAATATAAACTGTTGCAGAGTAATTGCTCTAAAGTTTTAGGTGGAAATTACCTCCAGGGATCTACAGGGACCAAATAGAGGCCTGTATAGCAGCTGTCTTCCATAGTGAATGATCAACACAGCATAGGAACTTTATGGTACACTGGTAAATAAAGGTTTCAAATGAGATGTATTGCCAAGTGGGTAATTGCACAAATAAGAACTTGGTGTACAGAGTAATGTTTTGCAGGATATTAAGGAAAGATTAGTTGGTTTGAACTATTTGAGATCTGTCAACATTATATATTTAGTTGTAGTTACGTTATTTCCAATATGTTTTCTTAGTACTCACTAATAGACTCCAACATGGTATGAATCTGCAAGACTGGACAAATGGAACTCAAATAGAGAATAGCAGTCTCATTAATTTTTGAGTGGTTTAATTATAAGGAAATTGATAAAAATATTTAGATGTGAGGTTTGGTTAATACAAATTAGATTACTAAACCAAAATGAACTTTTAAGGTGAAATGTACTGCTGCAGTATTCAGTGAAGCATAATGTGATTGTAGAGACAGTTCTTTGATTTTACTGTCTTGATCATGTTCTGTAGCTTCAGACTAATAGCATCAGTCTAAATAAAGAGCTTAGGTATAATAATTTAGTAATTTAATTTGTAATTTAATATAGCTGTAGTTTTTCATAGTAGTCCTTTGTAGCCATCTCTCTGTAGGTAAATCAAGTGCAAAAGGCAACATATTTGAGAAGTTTTTCAAATTTCATTCAGTTGACTGAAGTGTTGGTATGTCTTATACATGCAGCCTTGTCAGGCTTCTACTCTGTATTTTGCAAGGTGGGCACTGAGGTTTCACAATGTAATGTAGAACCTCCTTTCCAGGAAGAGATCATTTAGAAAGCAAACCTAATCTTTCTCAGATAAGGACTAACCACTTAGTTCCTTGCTACAACAAAGGCTGCTGAAATTCAGCTTCTGCAGTCTTCCCTACCTCGCTTTATGCAAAGGGACTCCCTGTACCAGTGCAGTGTTGGTTAGTCCACAGTACCTGTTGTGATTCACTTCGTATTTTCCTTTCTGAGATAGCTGCCATGGCACCAGCTATTCGTAGATGTGGTATAGACACGTGGACATGCTATGGACCTGTGTGCTTAACACTCCTTGTTTTAACTCTGTTCCAGGATTTGGAAAACAGCAGAATATTCACGTGAGGGTGATAATTCATTTTCTAGACCTTTAGTATCTAAGAAGGTTATAAACAGTTTTTCTTAGGGAGGGTGATTATTTAATCACCCCAAGTTGTTCTAACACAGAAGCTTAGCAGAGCAGCTGGGAACATTTTTGGTGTTAAATTTCAGTATATTTTGTTATGCTTACAACATTTCAGAAGACTTTGAGAATAGTGATGGTGATGCCATGTTCAAATGGATAGCTGAAACGTAAATCTTAGAATAGAAAGAGATTAGGTTTTATGTCACTGATCTTTAGTGTAACTGTCACTTGAGTCAAGAGAATTTGCAAATGATCTAGCCTTCCAAATTCAGATGTACAAACTGCAGGAAAGTGTGTATATGTAGTATGTATCTAGCCGTCTTCCAGGTGCACAGGCAAATGAGTTTAGCAGTGCAGTGTATAGAATAGAAATATTCCTGGTATTGTAGTTTGAGAAATTAAGGACAGCTTGAAATTCTTGTCACAATTAAACTTTCATGCTTACATATGTTTCCAGGTTGTATCTTTCTGATTTTTTTAAGCCAGTAGTATCTGTTGCTTTCTCTTATGTTCTTCAAAGATAAGTAAGGAATATTTTTATTCAAATTTTCATTCATTTTGTACATTTTTGTCTCTTAGTGGAATCTGTGGCAACAGCACCACCAGAAGACAGCTTTTTGTCTGTCATCTTGAAATACCTGTGAAGTTCTGAAAGGCAGGGCAGGATATAATCATGTTAGATAGTGACCCTATGTATCAAAGTAATATTTTACATATATAAAGCACATTTTCACTGAGTTTATTTTTTCATCACTTGCCATTGCTACTCTGATTTCCAGATTTATTGAAAATTCTCATGTTTCTGAGTCTAATGAGTCTAAGAAACCCATCTGAATGTAAAGACACAGAGATCAATCATATTGCTTAGTTGCAGTGAGAACAGATGTCCTTAAACAGCTATAAAACAGATATACTGAAACTGTATTTTTAATGCTATGATAGTTTACCAAGAACTGAATAGGCTACCAGGAGAAATATAAGCTGTTTAGCAGTTGGTGTAAACTATGACAGCCAAAAGGAATAAAGCTGCTTTGAATATTATACATTACCCAGCAGAGCTGTAAGTTATAAATATGAGAAACTTCTATGTTAAAATGGATTGACTTCAAAGAATAATTGTAAATCCTTGTAAAATGGGGGGAGGAAGAGGAGAGCACATTTCCAAATCAATAATATCTCCATGTAGAACTGAGTATTTGTAAAGACTTTATTTGAGTGTGTCTTACCTGAATATTTTCTGAAATCTGAAGGTGTATGAAATTGCATGTTAGCTTTGCAACAATATGCAAGACAGAGGTCTGTATACTGCATAGTATAATGTGAAGTTTATACCCACCAATATACACATTAACCAAGAAAATTTGCCAAGCTGATAAAATATTTCTGCTTTGGTGCCTCGTTTTATTCTAGAGATCCAGTAAGACCTTCCTGTGCTGTCAGGGTATTTGCCTATTTAGCTTCTTGGATAGCTGTTTCCATACTTCAGAGACCACTTCAGATGTACAAGAACCATCCTGGAGATCATGTATAAGAGATTTCAGGATATCTTACTACATTTTGTCTCTGATTCTCAGCCAGAAATGCAAAAGAAAAGGAAGATTCTCATAGATTGCTCATTGAAACATCTTGGAAGCTTGCCGTGGTTTAATGCTGCATTAGCAGACTCCAGTATGCATTCACTACTAAGACCTGTCTTTTGAGTAAGGAGTACTCACAGAAAAGAAAGATTACTTGTTCTTCAAGCAGCTTCCTAAGTATAAATTCAGTCCTGATTTGTGGAAGGTCTTCTGTTTTCCTTTACAATGGTTGAGAAAAGAAAGCCACTTCACATGGCAATGGTTTGGCAGAACTGAAGTCTGACAGACAAGAGGAGTGATATTTAAACCCAGAATTATTCCAACTGAGAGCTCGGTCTGATGACCCCTGGAGGGGTCTGTTCACATCAAGTCAAGTTGCAAAACTGAGGCAGACTATTCCTTATTATGAAATGAGACTAGAAGTTACTTAGATATTCTGGTTCACAGACTGACTAGTTCACTTTCTGTTTCATTCTCAGTCTTCCGCTAGCCATCATTTGGGAATTGCACTACCCACCACCAGGCAGTGACTCATACTTGGCAGTAATTAGGATGTCATTCATCCTGTACATACATTTTACAACATCCCTCCGCACTTCCTGAAACCGTGAGAAGATACTCATTTTTATATTGATTTCTGTAAAAAAAGACAATTGCTTTCATAGTGCTTAGTGTTTATTTTTAGCATTTCATGTACTAAGTCGTACAGGTCTTGTTAATGTATGCTTGTATTTTCACTTCTTTTGCACTTGCTTCAGTGATTCAGTTAGAGCTGCTTTTGAGGTGTGTGACAATGGGAGGGGGGTCTCTTCTGGAAGCCCCACAAATATACTGAGAGAAAATACATTTCTGAATGTTAGAATTCTTGAATTTTTGTACCAGTTCATGAATATGAATATGTCTCTAGACATATCAAGGATGAGGGGGTCATTAAGAGCAGCCAACATGGCTTTACCAAGGGGAAGTCATGTCTGACCAACCTTATAGTCTTCTATGAGCAAGTAACTAGGTGGATGGATTATGGTAGAGCAGTAGATGTGGTTTTTCTTGATTTCAGTAAGGCATTTGCTACTGTCTCCCACAGCATCCTCATAGATAAGCTAAGGAATTGTGGGCTTGATGATCAGGTAGTGAGGTGGATCAAGAACTGGTTGGAAGGAAGAAGGCAGAGAGTTGTGGTCAATGGGGCAGAATCTAGCTGGAGGTCTGTGACTAGTGGAGTCCCTCAGGGGTCGGTGCTGGGACCAGTGCTGTTTAATATTTTCATCAACGACCTGGATGAGGATACTGAATGTACCCTCAGCAAGTTTGCTGATGGTACTAAACTGGGAGGAGTGGCTGACACACCAGAGGGCTGTGTTGCCATTCAGCGAGGCCTGGACAGGTTGGAGAGTTGGGTGGAGAGGAACTTGATGAAATTCAACAAGGGCAAGTGTAGAGTCTTGCATCTGGGGAAGAACAGCCCCATGTACCAGTGCAGGTTGGGGGCTGACCTGCTGGACAGTAGTGAAGGGGAAAGGGACCTGGGGGTCCTGGTGGATAGGAGGATGACCATGAGCCAACACTGTGCCCTTGTGGCCAAGAAGGCCAATGGCATCCTGGGGTGTATTAGAAGGGGGGTGGTTAGTAGGTCAAGAGAGGTTCTCCTCCCCCTCTACTCTGCCTTGGTGAGGCCGCATCTGGAATATTGTGTCCAGTTCTGGGCCCCACAGTTCAAGAAGGACAGGGAGCTGCTGGAGAGAGTCCAGCGCAGAGCCACAAAGATGATTATGGGAATGGAACGTCTCTCTTATGAGGAGAAGCTGAGGGAGCTGGGACTCTTTAGCTTGGAGAAGAGGAGACTGGGGGGTGACCTCATCAATGTTTACAAATATGTAAAGGGTGAGTGTCAGGATGATGGAGCTAGCTTTTTTTCAGTGATGTCCAGTGACAGGACAAGGCAATGGGTGTGAACTGGAGCATAGGAGGTTCCACGTGAACATCAGGAAAAATGTCTTTATTGTGAGAGTGACAGAGCACTGGAACAGGTTGCCCAGGGGGTTGTGGAGTCTCCTACGTTGGAGATATTCAAGGCCCGCCTGGACAAGTTCCTATGTGATGTACTCTAGGTTACCCTGTTCTTGCAGGGGGGTTGGACTAGGTGATCTTTTGAGGTCCCTTCCAACCCTTAGGATTCTGTGATTCTGTGAATATTGATCTTCCAAATAACTTTTTAATGCCACAAACCAAAGGTAGTTTGAGAACTTTGGTGTGGGGAGTGAAGGCGATAAGATTTGCATGAAGAAGAGTTTGGGAATGAGCTCTCAGGCCTTGGTGCTTGACAAGCCCTGGGGCGATGAGTTGGGGCTTTGAAGGCCAGGGAACGTCAAAAAACAAGTCTTGGGGGGATGGGGCAGGATGTAGTTGCGGTGGAAGTCTCAGTTGATGATGTGGGGGTTGTGAGAGGGTCTGCAGCATTGTGATTGGACTATTTACCTGGAGAGTTTTACAGAGGCCAGTGAGATTGAATGTGGCATGCTTGTGCAGGTTCGGAAAGTACCAAACAAGGGGATAAAAAAGGCTTGATTGTAATAAAGCTGGATTTGAGTCTCCTCATCCACTTGAGTCCGTGTCGTGAAACGCCACACTTTGGGGCATATTCTTAACAATGAATAAGTAACATTTGAAGACTAGAAAATTATAATCTTTTGTATGAATGTTCACACAGTCCACATTACCTAGTCATAAATAGCTGAATCCAGGTATCAAGTTGACAGTGCCATAGGGAATCATTTCTGCTTCAGCAAATTTCATTTGGGACTGCTCAGGTTACTCTTACTGGTACTTCTGAGGAGAGATGAGCCAGGCCTGCCAGCCCTATTAGCTCTGCCTCAGTGTTGTCTCATCTTAAGAATGGTTGGTTCTGCGCAGATCCTACTAAGAGTTCCTGCTCTGTACTTTCTATACACATACAGTCCAGATTTTCCTATCAGACAAGACCTTGCCACCCTCCCTCTCTGAAGCTTCCTGACTCAGCCCCAACACTCACAGGCAGTAGAGAAATGACCATGTGGTCAACTCTTTAATTCAGGTTTATTTCCAGCCAGGTAAGAATCATCTGTTACGTCGTACTTTTGCACAGTTAGAATCTGAATATCCGTTTTTAATTTCACAGGTAAGGAAAAAGGCCGTAAAATTCTAATATCAGAAGCTGCAAATGTGTACGCTCATAAAAGATCTCTTGCATACTTCTAAACATACTGAAATGATATTTTCAGAGTCATTTTCTCACTATTATTTTTTGTTTTCCATAGCCCACCAGTCAGGAGCATCACTATCAGAAAGAAATGAGCCCACTTTCTCACTCCAACCCGCGGTAAGATTCCATTTATAGCCTGGGCAGTAAGGACTCAGAGTATCCTGAATATTAAGTGTGACATTCTTTGAATTAACCTTAAATCACTTTAAGAGGGCTTTACTATTGCTCGCTTCAGTCATTATCTGCATTATGTCTGTGTTGTCCTGGAATGCAGAACTGAATTCTGCATGTTTTGGATGTACCACTGTGTATTTAATGTAACTGACACAAGCCTTGCTCCTACAGCTGCTTTGATGCATGATTCAGGAAATCTTCTCATCTGACATACATCCACTCTCATCTCTTTCTTTCTCTGTCACTCCCTCTCTGCTTTGAAGGCTTAGAAGTAGAATTCTGCACGTGACTGTAGGTGCCAGGGAATCCATTTGTTACAGAAGGTTAATGTTACTTATTTAGACGGGTTTTTTTTTTTAATAGATAGCCCAGTCAGAAGAGGGTGTTACAACTCTGTGGAATAGTTCAAATTGATCCTGTGTGCAACATATTTTGGCTGTCAGGTTTTTAGCTTGTTCTGTTTTGTTTGTAATTAGCAAGAAAATCCCTGTGACTTTAATATGAGGCAAAATGAAGACAAGGGGAGAGGGTGGCTAGGGAGAAATAATCAGATTGAGATGATCAAAATTAATTGTCCACTTCCAGGTGAAACCCTAACATCACTTTGTCAATTTTTTAACAGCCTGAACAAGAGGTGTACTTATTTTTAAAAGTAGAGTGATTTCACTTGGTGGTGTTAATGCTGATTTTGCTTGTCCAGGTTTTAAATGGACAATGTATGTGTGTTGGGAGGGATAGGAGCAGATGACATTTCAGATACTTCTTTCGCTTTTATCAATGGTATGAAGTGTTTTCTGACAGCACACTGCCAGTTAGTTCTGCAGAATAACACACGTTTTTCCTCGCACAGATGTTTTCAGTCACTTATTTCCCTTGCCATCCATGTTTTTATGGATTTAAAATGTTCTTGTTAGATTTTATGAAGTGAACACTATGAAACTTGCCATGCAAGTTCTTCCAGATACGTCAGTTACTGCAACGTGCAGCCATAGGCTTCCTAGTACACACAATATATTACTTGAGTTAAAATACAATCCTGGATTCCCACCCCCTTGCACATGTAAATCCAAGTGTTTTATGTTGGTCTAGAAAACCTCTCTGCCTTGGGTGTTGGTTATCACAACTATAGACACAACTATAGTCCTCGGAGTAAGGTATGACGTACCTTGAGGCTGACACTTTGGACTCTGATTCCAGAATCAGTTTCATAATTCTGATGGCATTAGAATTGCCTGTATTTTAGTGCAGGCTATGTTGTTTGTCTCTTTCTGCCCATATATTGGTAGAGTCAAGTTTTATTAAGTTATTTTTATGCATGTGCTAAAGCAATTTGGTACTCAGTGCATTTTATATAGGAAAATGAGAATAAATATCATTATATGTAGAAATAAAGCTTTCCATCATGTCAAGTTAATGTGATCAACAATGAAAACCTGTATTTCCATGTAATGAAATTTAAAAGAGAATGGTATAAATTACAACTTAGTTCTCATGCTATTTTAGTCCAGCACACATGGTAGACTTTAATTTCTCTAGAAATCATTTGCGAGAAATGCAGGCAAAGTATTCGTAAAATACCTGACTTGCAAGTGCCTCATAAATTCAGTAGCCTTTGTGAACTGCCAGAAAAGCGTTATTGGGCTGTAAATACAGAAGACGACAAAATTATGAGGTCAGTTTGCATCATGATATAAAAACTGGAGATGATGTGACTTGAATATCATTATTCACATCATTACCTTTCATTTATAATGGAAAACTCTGTAATGTTTTTCACAGGGGGTGTGTACCTAAGCGAGAGCGAGATAATTAATTTTAATGATAATTTATAAGTTGGCTCCTAAACTGTTTTCAAAGCCAATTTTAACAAGTCATGTATGAGCAAGTAGAAAATGTCTAAATCTTTGTAAGCTTACTACAATAGTGTAGAACAACACACAGAATATTTAAAAAATGTATATATCCCATGTAGATGAGTAGCTATAAATACCATGGAATTAAGACAATTACTTGCTTCTGTGCACTTACTGAAACAACAAATATTTTGTTGTAAGGAGTGATACAGAATTTGACAGGTCTAAAGTAACTTTAAAAAGTGTAATAGTGATATATTCTGGGAAATGAAAAGAGAGCAGTGTGGAAGCTATTGTCCAGTAAATGTAGCTTCTGTCCATGATAAGATAAAAGAACAAGCCAGGAAAGAAAGCACCTGTGAAGATAATAGAAATGCAGTCGATAAAAAGACCCAGCTAGACTAATTTTCCATTGGTTCTGCTGAGTAACGGTCATAAATCTGCCAAGAATACTGCTACTGCAATACAAATCATCTCCACATCATGCTGCTTTGCAAGGTGTAGAACCAGTTAATGAAAGGAGGCAGGCTGACTGCGGAGGCTACAGAGCCAGATGAGCAAGATGATGTGCAGCGTTTCAAGCCTTAGCTATGTACTTCCCACTGACTGATGTGCTGTATGGTCCTAGCTGAACTTCAGAATTGCTCTCTTCTCTCCAAATAGGAAGCTGTAATTATCTGTGTTACTTCTTCCTCCAGTGCAGGGACTGGAAATTGTGAATTCTTGCTTAGCAAGCATTTGTCCTCCTAAATAATTGTGTGTCATAGAAGGTTTGGAAGCTTCTTCAAAAGAAATGTTAAAAGAAAGTCAATATGCTAGAGGAATTTCAGCTATACTGAACTGTAAAATGTAGAGCTGCTCTCTGAAAAAGATCACTCGAGCCTAATCTCATGAATGATTTTCTCAACTTCTACAGATGCTTTCAAAAAAATGTATTTCTGATAGAAGCTGATTTTTCTGTCTTTGTGGTGTTTGGTTTCTTTTAATACATAGAAACCTGTCTGTGTAATCATTGCCTCACAAGATCCTCTCTTCGCATCCTACTTAACTCTTCCCAAGCTACCAAATAAAATGTATTCCTCTGAAGTTCTATCAGCTGTTCCCCAGTAACTACACAAGAAAGACACAAATATTTCAGCATTTCATTGGCCATCCTTTTACAAGAAGTTTATTTTACTTAAGTAATACTGTACAAAATGTACACAGCCAAATTTTCAGTTAGTTTTTCCCAGATCTTTAACTTTATTGTGGGCACAGAGCTGCATGGAAATGTGATACAATTCAGGATGTCATTTTGCCTAGATTCGTTTTATCTATTAAAAGTGCCACCACTGTGCTGTGGTTTAAGTCATTTGTAGCTCTGCATTTGTGGATGTAATATAAAATTCATTCTACCTATAATTGGCTTATATGGGCCCGCAGTCTTTGACAAATGGTTGATAGTCACTGTCCTCACTTCACATGGGCTTAGTACAGGCTGACTAAAGCAAGCCGCTTATCATTGTAACCTACATGTGTTACACTGGACTGATCAGGATGTCATCATTCTTCTTTCCTCTACAATCAAAGGAAAAACCCAACCCCAAAACAAAACCAACCTCAAAAAGAGCTAATTTTTCTTCTTTTTTTCTTTTTCGTAAAGGTCTCTCTCCAGTTATGATAAATGTTAAAGATTTGAGATTTATCATCACTAAAGAAAGGTTTCACTGATGTGGAGATGAAGTCTTTGAGGAGGACAGTAAATATAAACTTTTCAGAAAAAGGTGTTTTATCCTCACAAGAAAAGAGTAGTGCCCATATCCTTAATTACTGCTTTATCAAACAATGAGATTTTCCTTTCTGTTATAATGATACACATGCGCAGTAGTTCAGATAATGTATCATGAAATGATAAATATGTTCCTTTAATTCTTTTCAAACTTTATTATTGTTAAACTTCTGGTATATTAGTTAAATATACCAAACACCCCTTTCTATGCATCTGACTGTTCCATTGATTTTTAGGAAGTAACTTGTTTCTTTAACTTTTAGAGTTTCTGCCAGAGAAGTCTTGTTTTAGAACCTATTGTTGACATGAATAGTGCTATTACCATGGAACCTTAAATTTGGATAATATATCAATGATTTCAGCACAAAACTACATCCACTGCAAAGCCGCAAGTATTAAAAGTATGTTCAGCTTTGATACCACCATACTCTCATCCATCCCCAATGAAAACTAGACATTCCAATAGCTGCCTCATGTGGTGTTACACTGTTAAGAGATTTGGTAAAATTAAACTCCCCTGTGGAATAGTGCAGTTAAGAGAAGGATGGGAGTGATAACATTTATTTTTGCTGCAGCAGAACTTCTCCAGCATGCATGCTGTGAAATTCAGACACAAAAGGTCTTTGTTTCCTGTATTTCCAAGCAAAGGAGTAAATAGCAGAATAACTTAAAAGTTAAGCACATTTGAAGATTAAGTTTTGCAAACAAAGCATAGTTATTTTTATGATTCATTACAGGATCAAAGTCATACAGTTCCATTACTTCTGCAAAACAGAAAATGCTCCATTATGAAGTATTATGAAATTACACAACTGTTGTGAAAATAAGTGAACAAGAACAATGTATCACAAAATGTACTTTGGTTTTTCATTGTGTTTGTTCAGTTACTTTACATATCCACAAAATAGGTGCAATAGGTCTCCCAAGTCGTTAATCTGAATTAGTGAAGTTCTGCTGCATTTGTCAGGCTGTAATATGCATGAAAAGGGAACATGACAAAAGAAGCAAATGGCACAGGAAACGTTTTGTTGGGAGGTTAATTTTTTTAATCACGATGGTGAAAAGCTTAGCTGCAAGCAGGTTGTTGAGAACCAAGTGGCTAACATATAAAAGCATGTTAAAATAACCCAAAATCTCTTTCCCTTGTATGGGAATCTGAGAACATGGAAACAGGGCAGCATATATGCTATGGGTTTGAATATAAAATGTAGCAAATGCTTTCAAACATTTTGCTGTTGCATCTATGTTAATGTAAGGTAGTTTATCTCCTTTTATTTTTGCAGCTTCAGGACTTACTGAGATTTGCTTTTTTATTGGTTCCA